CATGATGTGCGGCGGCCGGAAATACTGGGCGGCGCACTGCTTGCGATTGTCGGCAATCCTCCGGCGACACCGCTTGCACGCGTCCGGCAAGCGGTTCAGCACCCTTCCGGCATAGGTGTGGTGCCTGCGTGGGTCCGGGCGTGAAGGCGCACGGCAGGCGGTCCGGCTGTATGCCGGCGCCGTGACATCATCAGCGTGTAGTAGCGCGGCGCATCGGTCGGCACCACGGCATATTCATCGTGTACCAGCGCGGCCAATGCCCGGCACATCGCATACAATTGCCGGCGTGCCAAACGGCATCTGACAGGCAGCATCGGCGGCACCGTGCCCGGCGGTTCTCCATGCCGCGGCATTTCCAAAATGCACCCGTTACATGGTCATATTTGGATATGATGCGTCGGTTGACTGGATGGTATGCAACATAGCATTTGTGTCCATAAAATGTGAATATGACTTGTGCCTACATTGCATCAAGCTTGACAGGACAGGTGGAACGTGATTCTTTATCCACAAATTCAACAATGTTCTTACCCACTGGCTGAGACTGGTTTTAGGGTTTACCAAACCCTAAATCATTATACCCTAAGGTTGTGCGTCAATTGCAGGCGCCTGCTCTTCTTCTTCCTCGTTCATCTTTTCCATGTCGGCCCAGACATCTACATCCCTCTCAAGATCTTTAGCGGCCCTTTTCTTCTTGCTCTTCTTCTTACCCCCGCCACTCTTTAAGTACACTATCGTTGCGGCAGCGAGATCCACCGCCTTGTTCACTGGCCTCAACTTCAGGGCCATCTTCTTTTTGTCAGCCTTCGCCTTCTTCAAGATCGCCATCACTTCCGCCCCCTGCTTGTCCATCGCCCGTGCGTTGACGTCGCGGTCCAGCGACAGCTTCTTGTTTTGCAGATGGGTTTGAACCTACATAGAAATTGCACGGAACAAATGTCAGGTGCTGTCCATGGCAATACGAGATGTTTGATGGAATCGTCCACTACGGGTGGACAGCTTGCCAGTCGCGACACATTTAACTTGCTCAGAGAGACGAAGGGTAGCACTCGAACATCTGATCTGCTACATCGGCTCAAGTTGAGGATCTTTCTGGGCAGTCGCACTAGAGCTTACTTTCACATCCAAGTTTTCCTGATACTTCAAGGCTTCTTTAAATGTACGACTTACCACGAGACAGGTCCAGGCCAGCTGCTTGCAGGTCACAAGGCACTGTCCGTCGCTCGACCAGACCTCGTTGGCGATATTGACGAACACGTCAGAGGAGAACGGGTTGCCGTCGCCGTCGGTATGCCACGCGCCGTCTGCAAGAAACGAACGTCATTCGCTAAGTTGCTATCGCTTTGCGGCAAAGTTCTACAAGGACCTTCAACGCAGCATTTCCAACTAAACAGATGCAGCTGCGCAGTTGGATATCGAGCGTAGGACAGCAGCACATCTGTATAGATCAGAAGCTTTCGTATCGCTCACCTTTGAGGAGCTCTCGCCCTTTGGCCAGCAGCTCCTCCAACGCCTCGTCTGTCTTGCATCTGTCTGGAGTGAAGTGATGGGTGGCGTTGAAGACACCCCGAATGTTCTTGACGCCAGAGTATTCCGCCCTGGCACTGGACATTCTCTTGGTGTGCCAGTGCATCAGGTAGGCGTACGTGGCTGCCCCAAAGAACTCCTTCGGATCGTTCTTCTCCCCGTCCACCTCACAACGCTCCATTCCCTCCATCACGGCGCGGTAGTACATCAGGTCCTCTGGCTTGGGGTAAGGGTCGCACCCCACCGCCCAGCCGATCAGGGCCACTTTGGCAAGCGCCCTCTCGGGGGTCTGCAGAAACGTAAGTCCGCTTTCATGATCCACGCAAATCCTTGTATGAGACAAGAGCCAAGAGCAACCAGATTGTCAAAAGCAAGCGGTGCGAAGAAAAATTTGCAGAGAGGCAAGAGCAGGCAGTCAGCCATAAGCAAACGGAGGCCACTGATAGCAAGCAAACAGCCGTAGGCAAACGGATGCAAAGAGCAAAGATGATGCATAGAGCACAACGTCTAGCCTTGTGGTCTATTGAGAACAAGCTCGGACTTTGAGAGGTTAGCATTTCATAGCAGGTTCCCCTTTACCCATGCTCACCGTTTCCTCTCCTCTGCCTGGTTGCAACAGATACTGCTCGTCGACATCCCCGCCAATCACAATGGCACGTCCGGCAGCACCTCCAGCTTCTGAGTTGTCCTTCCCTGCAAGCATTGAACATGTAAACCTTTTGCCGCAACATGTTATGTACAAACAAAGAATAGAGCTTGTGCATTACTGAAAGCCTAAAGTCCAAGCAACATTGATTGGAGACCAGATGCTGCTTCTTAGAGCTCTTAACCAATCCAATCTCACAACTGTTCCGTCAACGCACCATTTCAGATATCCAACTGTACAAGCAACAATTTAAAATCAAGCAGACAACAAGTTTTTTTTGGAGAGCACCCAAGTACAGGCTCCCATGCATCATTTCCAATTCTTGCAGAACAAGCTCAGTGTTGGGAAATCAGCTGTAAGTGGCACAACTTACGGAGAGCAAGCACCATGCGGTTGCTTGCTGCCTCGGATGTACGACCACCTGTTTGGGGGATCTGGGATGGAGGCAACCTGGGAGCACGCCTCGGAATACGAAGCAACCGCTCTTCCTCTTCCTCGCTGCCTTCATCTTCTCCTCCGCCCTGTCCTTCTTCTCCCCCATCATCCTCAGATGACTCGTCCTCCTTTTCAGGTATCCTATCCTCATCATTAGCAAAAGGCATTGCATCAGGTTCCAACTCGGGAATTTCCTCCTCGTTCCCAGCAGCACCCCAGCCATAGGCCGCATTGTTTTCATCTACTTCTTCAGGAGGTAGTGCCTGAGACCTCGCTTTGTAACCTGGTGCATTGGACCCGTTACTAGTGGCCTTCTTCTTGCTGCCGGCAGGTTGCTTGCTCTTCTTTGCCTTCAGGCGCTCCGCCTCAGCTGCGGCCTCTTCCTCAAATTGCTCCCTCCTTCTTTTTGCCTCCTTGGCCTTTTCTGCCTGCTGCGCCTTCCAGATCCGGTTTGATTGGGGCCCGCCTAGGTTGGGTGGCACCGCCCTCAAAACATTGGTATTGGCAGCCCCTCTCACCATACTTGCCTCCTTGTTGTTGCGGCAGAATGTTACAGCTTTTGCGGTGATGGGATGTTAGGGAGCTATACACCTTGTGCTGCGCAGTTGAGAGGCG